TTGAGGGAGGAGTGGGAGAGAAGGGATTTTGCTACATAAAAGAACCTAAGATTAGCAGGTCATTTCTAGTTGTAGAACAAATATTACCTAAGGGGTCCCTCTAGTGGAAAGTAGGATATAAATGCTGCGGGGACACCTAGTTGCCGTTTTAAAAAATAGGTTATTCAAAAACAAAACCAAACTCGCTGCCATTGAGTGAATTCTAACTCATAGCGACCTACGGGACAGAAGACAACTAACTGCCCCAGTGAGTTTCTGAAACTGCAACTTCCTACTGGAGTAGAAATTAGCTCATTTAAAAGGGAGAGAAATGTAAAAATGAAGACCAAACTTCACCTTGAGAAACAAAAATCTCATTGTCATAGAGTGCACGTCGACTCACAGTGACTCTGCAGAACAGGGTAGAACTATGAACGCAGAGCTCTCACCTTTCTCCTGCAGAGCAGCTGGCGGGTTTGATCCACTGACCTCGCAGATCACAGCCCAACTGATAACCACTGCTCTACCAGAGCTCGTTGCTACTAGGAGCACTTAGAAGATTTACAGTCAACGTCCCCAGTTGTCAGGGAGCCCTGGTAGCACGAGGTTACGTGTTTGGTTGCGCATTGACTAGATATCTGTGAATTTGGTTTGTTTGTCTGTCTGTCTTTCAGTTGCCGAAATCAGGGCAACACCTTCCTTAGGGTTCATTTCTCTCGTGTTTGCTTTCACGTAACTTCGCCTGTCGGTTTAGATGGAACGTTCAGATTAAATGTAGAGGTGCTGAGATTGTGGCGTGATCAGGGATGGAGCCTGAATCCTAGAGGATTGCGAAAGTCACTCCGCGAATCTTAGCTGTGGCCGAGTGAAACCGGCTCTCTTCGGCTCCGCTCGCCCGGCCCTCCTCTGGGACTCGGCTCTCTTCGGCTCCGCTCGCCCGGCCCTCCCCGGGACTCGGCTCTCTTCGGCTGGCTTCGCGAACGGAAGGCTTGTGGGACTCGGCTGTGCTCCGTCAATGCTCACCTCAGCCGACTGACTCAGCGCGCTCGGCTACATTCGGCGCCAGCCTTCTGGGACCCGAGTCTCTTCGGCGGCGTTCGGCTGGCGCCCGCCTCCCCTCGCTCGGCTTTCTTCGGCTCAATCCGCCTGCGCTCGTCTGGCCTCGGGTCCCTTCGGCTGCGGCCGGCCGCGGCCCCGGAAGGGCGTCCATGGAGCAGGGACTGCCGGCCCGGAAGGCGGCGATGGCTCCGCTGCTGGAGTACGAGCGGCAGCTGGTGCTGGAGCTGCTCCACAGCGACGGGCTGGTGGTGTGCGCCCGCGGGCTCGGCGCGGACCGGCTGCTCTACCACTTCCTGCGGCTGCACTGCCACCCGGCGTGCCTGGTGCTGGTGCTGAACACGCAGCCCGCCGAGGAGGTGCGGCCGCCGCGACACCGACCGGGGGACTCCGGGGCGCGGGCTGGGGGCTCCGCGGGCGGGCGGGCCTTGGCGCCGACCTGGGCCCCGAGCGGAATGGAGGTCCCGGCGGGCTGAGCGGGGCTCGGAGGACG